GCCAATACGTGACAATGTTCCGATTGCTAAGATATTTTAAACAATAAATAATATGACTTTGTCTTTGAAAACAAATTGAAAGAATAAAAAGAAAAAATTTACATTTCAAATAAAATTGTCACTCTCTTTCCTTTAAAAAAACTACTAAGCGTCCATACATAGTATCTTTCTGATGAAAAATGAACGAATATACACAACTTTATGAAACCGGTAAAAACCGGTGAAAACCGGCCGGTCCAACTCACTCAACCGATCCGGTAGGGTACCGGACCGGACCTGTTACAACTCTGCGGCATGACTATTCATTTTCTGTAAAAATAAACGCAGTATATTGCTTGACTATGATCAGGTCATGTAGCATACATTGTCTGTTTGTCCAGATGGAAGAATGCAAACTAGAATAACTCTAATAAACACTACTAATAATCTTCAGGAAGCATTGATAATATTCTCAAGCACGTGTCTATAAGAGTTAATTGACGATTTATAATAATAATAAAATAATATTCAGAAATGTTCACTGAAGGACCAAGAGTACAAGATTTTTGTCCGTGCGTTCCGTTGAAATTTTGACAATAAGTCAGTTAATATACCAGCTACTGACTCAGAAATTCTGTGGTTTTTGCTGATTAGATAAGTCTTAGAATGTATGGAATGAATCTGATTGCTGTCGAGAGTTATTTATACGAGAAAGTAATACATCAGTGAAGCGTAAGGTGAAAAAGAGAAAAACTCTTCCAAATATTCATCAGACTCTCGCCCAAGTCACTTTCTAATATATAAAAAAATTTGAAGAAAAACCCGGTAATCTTTCAACGCGAAAATTCGAAAAAATTAAAGTAGTCGAATAGGATAGAAATACACATCAATCGACGCAAGTTTTGATCTTGATCCCGAATATGACGTTTTTATTGCTCAAAAGTTGAGCTCTGATCGAGAAAATTGAGAATTACGGATAGAATTCCGACTTTTTCGCCTCTTATTTGGATTAATGAATTTTCTGTGCAACGAAACAAAATTTTTAAAAAAGCGAACCGTACTTTTAAAGCTGGACTCACGGCGGATACAATGCCATTGATACGACGGTTCCATCCCTTAACATAAAAAACTAGACAGGTTTACAAAGGACTCGCCCTTCTTTTCCAATGGTCCATTCGAATGTGGATAGACGAATTAGCTGTACCTTAATAATTTCTAGTAAATAACAAAAAGTATATTTTCGAAAGAAGAGCACACAGCCTTCGAGTAAGTAAGTCATACACAGATCTATCATAGAACAACAACACAAAAGGTTATCTAATGAGTAAATAGTTACATTAAATATTTTACCTGATTTTTCATGAGCTCATATTGCAATTAATGTTGACAATACAAGATAAAATCGAACAAATTCTGGATGATTATGGCTAACGTCATATAAAGAAAACCTAAAACGTATAAAAGTCATAATAAGCATTGAGAATATTAATTTAGATAATCACTGAACGAAAGAATAATTTATATATCATCATGACTAAGTCTTAATTTCTTTTGAGAACTATATTCTATGGATCTTTTTATTTTGGATTGGTGATACACCTGAGAAACATGTTAAATTTCTATACACTTCACCAGATGTTTGATGTTCAGCACGTTAATTTACTTGCTCTTGATGTTGATGATATTGGTCATATACTATCTGATGGTGTTGTGGATGAAATCGATGCTGATGTGATCCAAAGGTTCTTATCAACGTTCTTTGTAGATCTTCCCAACTTAAATGATCCAAGTCTGTATCAATGAACCAGTTTATCACAGTGTCAGATCGTAAAAATAATGGTAAGGCTAATTTCCGGTCCTCATTTGGAATGTTGGCTGTTGTACATAATATATTAAATCTAATGAGCCATTGTGACATTTCTTGATTATTGTCGCCAGCAAATAGCACTAAATTGATTGATGCCATATCGAGTTTTCTTTGACAAGTTCTTGATTTGTTTGTGATGTTGGATTGACAAACAATTGGCTAGTGCACCAATGTGAGATTATTCCTTTCAGAATCGTTTTGCATTCAATATTACATAGCCAAAGAAGAATATAACTGTTATACACCCTTTATTTCAGTAAATTAACAACTACATATAGTATATTTCGGCTACCGGAAGATCTCTTAGGGAAACTGGAAAAAACACATATTGCGCAAGAGAGAGAGAGAGAAGAAGAATAGTAATCAAAAATACCCATCGAAGAGTGATCAGAAAGAGAAAACATAAATCATATAAAAGCAGAAGAGTGACTACGTATAACAGAAAGGGAAAATAACCATTGAGTGAAGTGAAATGTATACTGAAAGATAACTGTTGCTATGAGATTTAGTTTATACTTCCTAACAATCGTCTTTTGAGGTAAGGTTTTAAGGCATATCTGTTGATAAAAGATACTAGTAAACGTAAACTTTTTATAATTCAACTGATGAGCAGTCCAATAATACGTGGCTCAGAAGAATATATGATCTTTAGAGATCAAATGTCTTAAATAGAGTACTAAAAATTCGAAGAACTTATTTCATGTTCTGCAAGATACGAAAAAAAAATTGGGGCTATACGTTTTCAAAGAACACATTTGAGTTTTTTGAAACAAACGAAGAGCACTTTTAAATTCTTCAACGAACATGTATTTTTTACCGTGCACTTGATTAATTGCAAATGTAACAGCAGAATATATTTATTTACTTTCTTTATAACGGTATTTAATTTGCCATAACTATTAGAAGCAAATAGACTGCATCAGAGCACTACTCACCATTGAACTATTCATTTAATAATGTACACAAACGTCTTTTGAACTACCCACGTCATGGCAGAAAATGAAATTAATCTAGTTTAATTCAGACTGTAAACTAATGTCCGCTTTTATATTAGAACTATTGGTTTAAGATGGGGAAGAGCTGTCACTTGGATTTTTAAAGTTTTTAAAAGTTTCATTTTACGTAACATTTAATTTCAAAGTCGAGTCTTACAAATTTCAAAATTTCCCTTCGTGAGCCGTAGTAGTTGATACTGAAATATTTCTTTTCGCAGTTTTCCTTGAAAACGCTTCCTTCGAGCGAAACTTTGTTTACGATCATGGACTCTGAGTAACCGGCCTGAAAATCATTATTTTTTTCGCTTTTTGACATTTTCATTCGATTCCGTATGTGAAAGCGTCTATATTCTGTGCGTTGAAGATTTTCTGAATACTATCTTCTGGCTCAAACGAAAAGAGAAAGTACCGTAAAAATTTGAGCGTCTTTTCTTCGCAGTCTCAGTATTTTCAATTTTAACGATTGACCTTAAGAAATTTAGTGACAGCAACGTATTATACTATAGAAAAAACATGATAAACAACTTCTACACTCAAATTTCCAAAAATCCTTCCATGCAAAGAAACTGTAGGCAAGATCTCGAAAGCGCACAATTTTGACCCCAAAATCCATTCCGAAGTCCGTAAACTTCAAAACTCTTTTTATATATATTTTGAGGTGTCCTCTGCAATGTGGCAAACTTTGAACCAAATCTAAACGGGAGTACCCCTACTTAAGAAAAATTAACGAGATACCTTGCCGTTAGGTTCTCATTCTAAAGTGTGCGAGTGCGAATTTTTTTATCATATAACGTCAGCGGTGGGTGAAGTAGATAGATTATTTAAAATGTACAACAACTTGTGGTAGAATATTTATTTCTTGGAATACCGCTAATTCATCATACAATGCACCATCTATACCATTAGTTGGTGGTCGATAATCCGTTGTAGTTGGATCACGATCCGTTGGTGCAACAGGTATATAATGACATTGATAATTTTTATAATTTCCTCTACCATAAAAACGAAATGTTGTTGGGGATGCACCATGAGGCGCATCATTTGTTACAACAGGAAATGGATTTAATAATAAGATATAACACATAATAAGACAATTTCCGTAACGCAGAGCATATTTAGCCGATGATGTAAAATACATGGCTCTTCCATACCAACCATCATCAATTTTACCCAAAGTAGCAAAACCATTTGATAACAAATATGGTAATGTTTCACGATTACAACCATGCCACATACGAACAATACGAACTCGTCGATTATGTGATACTTGTTTACATAATAAATCTAAACGTTCTAATACATACGTTCGTTCTTCTTGATTGATTTCCATTGATAAATTTGGTTGAAAGTCAGGTTGATCTTGACGATCTTCAATAAATTGTAATTGACCTAAAAACACACGATATCGTGCAGGATTGAAAACAATTTCAACTTTATCAAGTTTATGACTTGTAGTTGTATAAAAGGATTAGCGATGTTCTTTTTTGTTCTGTTTAAAGATTCCTCTCAGGGGATACAATGTAGTCATTAGAACGACGATTTCACTCGATTGGTTTTCTTTTCTTGTTCATTTTGATTTCTTTTAATAAAAAGCTTAAATCAAAATCCATTAGTGTGGTCGTTGTAAGATTCTTCCATTTTTCAAGATTAATAATGATTCAATACTGAAAATTCGAAAAACCTGATTGGTTGTGCTAAAACTGGAATGTAAACTTAATCTTCTATTTGGATTGTGAATAGAAAAGTATCCAACTTGACTCGACCAGAAAACTTTCAAACTTAAGAGCAAACGGCGCCGTCTCAAGTTCTTGTCATCACACATGTGGGTCAACTTACTCTCTGATGGTGTTAGTAATGAAGTTGGTGATGTTGATGTTATTATTTGCGCGTTTTCTTCTTGTGGTGATGTTGTTATTTCTGCGTTTTCTTCTTGTGGTGATGGGGTTGCTATAACATCTATTGTAAAAAAACAAACGCATTAAAGTCTCGCCAGAAAGTAAAGAGTCGAGACAAATAGGATTTATTTGCACAGACTCGTTCATAACTGAATGAATTGAATAATAGTGCATTTTTTACTGGAATAAGAGAGAACTTATTGTCCTGTGAACATACACTGAGGCCCACAACCGTCCGTCTCACTTGGTTTCTGACGTTCTTTACCGTAATACTCAGGCAAAAATGCTCTACGGTGAAAATCTGTTAAGCCGGCTCAGAAGACGAAATATATGTAATAAGAGGGTGGCTGTCATGTAGGTTAACCGATAGGTTAACGGGTAGTTGGCGTAAAGCGGTTAACCGGACACTGAAAGCTAGCTTAAAAAATAAGAAAAAAAGAACATGTGCCCAACGAGAATCGAACTCGCCGACTATAACTATAAGAATTAAGATTGGAAGTACGCGACATTTTAACCAACTAAGCTACCAGGCATACATGTAGTAGTTGATAAGTGATGAAATCATTGAGAAGATTGGTGTGATTGGTGTTTTCTGTCTGAAAAAAAAATTTTCGAGAGTTGTGTCCCGAACATAAAATGTAGCAAATTTAATTTTCTAATTTTATGTGTTTGGACCATATCTTAAGAAACCGTTCTTCGTAGAGAAAAACAGTAAATACCATTTTCCACCGTGAAGATCGATTTATACAACGTTGAGTCTGGTAGATAAAATTTAGAAAATTACATTTGCTACATTTTTATCACTACGTTCAACTTTGTAAAACGCCTCCTTCATCATGAGAAATCGCAAATAACCGCCTGTTTGGCCATATTTTATTTTTCCCTATGAAGGAAGAGTTGTTAAAAGTTGAGTCTAAAGACAAAAATATGGCAAATTTAATTTCCTAAATTTCGTCTGCCAGGTTCAACTTTTTATAAATCGATCTTCGAGGTGAAAAATAGTATTTTCTATTTTTCCCTATGAAGAACGATTTCTTAAAAAAAAGGATTGTACTTTTCTGTTTTCTTACTATTCATAGTAAAATTGATTTATAAGTTTCATCAAGTGTCCTTGTCGTTTAGAGTTACGGTTTTAAAAATTCTGCTAAATGCTCTACTCGTAAAAAGCAATGCATTGAACCTAGCTGATAACCTCCTTTGAGTTTAATCTATTTGATGTGAGGCACTACCTTGACTAGGCGGTTAAATGAGCGGTTGGAGCTAGATCAAATAGAGCTAGCTCGATCAGTCGCTTAAGTGGGCAGTTAACCTAGGTGATAACGTCTCCAAAAGCAGGTTGAACCGCCCGATTCCAGCTCCATTTTTTTTGCTTGGGTAGATAAAAACATCCGAAATACACCTTTGTGTCCGTTAGTAAACTGAATGCAGTTTGATGCAATAGCGGCTCAGAGAGTTCATGGAGTCTCATTTTTTCGAAAATTTTTGCTCGAAGTTGTTATTACCTGACTAAGTTATTCGCAAAAGTTTTCGACTGAATCAATGGTCTGGTTTTCTAGTATTTAAGTCTAACCAGACATAGTTTCCAACAGTTGCTATCGAATGTTTATACAAATCTCTTCTGATAGAAAAATCCTTCAGATAATCAGATCGCTTCTCGGGTTTCTTTATCTTTGACGGTGGAGAAAACTCAACAACCAAGCCAAATGGATTGTTTTGAGTCTCACTCTGTTAATGATTTCAAATAAAGCTCGTTTAATATTTAGCGCAAATCCAATAAAAGATTTTCTATATCGATAATTTTCTACTATGAAATACGAAGGAGCTTGCAAACAGAAAAAGGGAACACTTTGCTACAGACAAAAAGCAATATATCACTCACCGTGTCTTTTGTAGCTTTTAAATGCAGCAACTGCGTACAACTTTTTTGACGTTTGATTGCTTATGACATGTTTAGTAGCTGCTTTAAACTTAGCATTTTTGTCCATTTGTATTTATAACGGATATAATATAGTTTTTAAAAGAATCAGAAGATGAACTTAAAAAATGAATATACTGTCAATCGAAACATTCTTATGACGTCACTTTTATCATTGATACAAAAGAAAAACTATTTTAATCTTCTTTTTCAACACGTTTATTGTTTTATGAATACCTCACGCGTGTAGTATATATAGAAAAAGGTGTTTATAAGAAGAGAAAAAATAAATGAATTGTTTTCATTGCCTGTTCCTCTTACTTACAAAAGTGGTGTAAAGCGCCCGAATGATGAAAGCACCATTATGTACTTTTACTTCCGGCTTATGTTTTTGTGTTGAGAACCGATCATATGCTGTTAGGACAGCTCGAGGTCAGAAACCTATCTCGAACAGACCACATGCAATCTCAACCAAACTTTCAGAAATTATAACAGCTCTCGCCTCATACATCTGAGATACAACTCTCCACTTGATAGAACACAACGATGACTAATACTTAACGATGCGATAATATCCAGAGACTGAGCTGGATACTGAAATAATAGCATCCAATAAAACAGCAACATGCAGAAGTTAGTTTATAAAATTATTTTTTATCGTTATTAGTTAGTAAATACATTGTTCGTAGTACATTTTAGAAGGGTTAAATTGCCTGTATGAGGTCATTTTGTTATCACATCTGCTACGATGATTAGTAGTTTCCGACGTTTCATAAAATTTTTAAGCTGAATGTGAACTAAATTTCAGTCTTGTAGAAAGAAAAGAGTGAAGAAAATATCTAAGCTCACGATGTAGTTCAAAGTATGTGATTTTTATATGCACGATTTGATGAAACGTTTATTTGTCTAAAACAAGCTTAGTCAATGATCGAATGAATCGAAGATGAACGTTACCTGTCGTGGATCAGGTGTAATGCTAGCAAGACTGACGTCGTTATTGTTTTACATCAAATTCCCTCACCGGCAGTTAATTACGACGTAAACTGAATAGCACGTACTGAATAGCAAGTGCAGAACGAAAAAATTTTCACTGAACAAAGTGGCTCATTTAAATAGTTATATACTTAAGCTGGCTGAGAGCCGTCTTTCAGAAGGATCGGACCGCTTTTCGATTTTTGGTCAACTTCCACCTCTTTTTTTTATAGAGGACTGAATTAGCTAGCACTTCTACGCATGCTGAAGTATATGACTCAATAGAGAATCCATTCCTCCATTTCCGAGAAAGTCTCTGAAGATTCGGGTTTTCTGGAAAACCTTACGAATTCAAATTTATCAAAACAAATTCTTAACCACGGGCTATCGAATGCTCGGTTTGGGAAATACTTTGATGAATTTTGAATTCGTAAAGTTTTCCGGAAAACCCGCATCTTTAGAGACTCTTTTCTGGAAAATGAGGGAACTGGTACTTAATTTATTTCAACGACTTACTTCATTGAATGTATTCCAAAAGTAACCTTATTTTAGAAGAATATCAACAGATTTCTCAGACTATATGAAAGCGCTGATTTAAATAATAAGTAATACCCCCATTGTAAGTTACAATTATAATTTTATTGCAAGGTAAGTTCAAGTATAGGGTGTTTACTGTATTAGCGTGAACTCTTTCGGCTTATATAGTTCAAAGTTTTTAATGTAGAAAACAGAAATGAAAACTCTGTAAAAAGTATCGGATTCAGCTGTTTAAATCTGTATGTAATCACAAGAAAACTACATAAAATATTTATTCATAATAATATCGTATCAAAATATCATAAATATACCGCTAGTTATTATGAATATAATCTAACAGTGATCCATTTGATAGTAGTTTAAGTTCTCCTTGCGTTTGAAGTTTTTGAGAGGGTAAATCGTAGTATTGGCATACAAGTGATATAAAAAAATTCATTGCAATTGCTGAACCCACTTTCGAAGACAGGAGAATAATATCAAACAATAATAAAAACAAAACCATAAAAATTGACATCATGAAAGATTTTATGTACAAACAACTCTACAACAAAAAAAGGGTTATATAGTCATTGTTTTTCGTTTTTTATTGCTTTGCTCAATGCTTTGCTCATCATCATTGTCTAGTTTTCGTTTA